TAATTGGTTGTTCCGCGGTTGATCTGATCCCAACGCTGGTTGAAGAATGCGTTGTCATGGTTGAGTGAATTCCTCTGCAAGGGATGGCGTTATTGAAGGAAGTGTTATTTGGAAGTTAGTATTAGTCATAGTATCGTTATTAGTAGGACATTTACGTGTATTTATTTTCTTTACCGAACTATTAGGACGAGGACAAACAAAACCCGCACGTGAATTTGAAGAGGCATGGTACAGTATAGACGGCAATACAATTAACCGACACGTTGAAATTCCCACTATTTACTTAAAACAACACGTAAATGTCCTACTAATAACGATACTATGACTAATACTAACTTCCAAGTAACACTTCCTTCAACATCCGCCACACAACAATCCAAAAATTCCAATGACGCCATCCCTAGCAGAGGAATTGTCGTCAGATCAACAAACCAGCATTGAGATCAGATCAACCGCGGAACAACCAATTAGACAGCTCGACGTATACAAGAACGTAGCAACACCGCAAAACTTTAATTAAGTAATGTACATATGTAATTTTAATCTCAGTATTCTGAAGAAGGCTCGAAGTACCGAGTCGAAAGCTCAATAAAAGTATATTTCAATCCGGAGAACTTTAATTAATTATATATATATATATATATATATATATATATATATATATATATATATATATATATATATATATATATATATATATATATATATATATATATATATATTACCTCAAAAAACCACAACAGTCTGTTTCATCCGTATAGGAATCATCAGGTGACCACATTCTATCATTCTGTTTTATTTGCTCTCTTGTTACAAAAACATTGTTTCACACTGAGAGTTTACAAAAATAATGTCATTTGGTAAACTATTTAATTAAACTTCGATCTATTACATGCAGATATTATACATAACAATAAGAACAGAAAAAAAATTATTACTTATAATTATACGAATAATATCATGACGTATAGCTGCTATAAGAGAGTGAAACTAATTGGTTGCCACGTGTCACAGCCATGTGCCGGCGCTCTAGCAGTCTAGTTGTTGTACGTAAGAAGTACGTGTAAATTAAGCGCGTAAGAAGGCGCGTCAGAATTCCCTGAAATCAGAAAGATTAAAAAATATCAATATGTATACCATGATGTGAAAAATTGCCTGTATATATTAAAACAAGAACGTCTGTACATCAATTTGTACTGTAATCCATCCCAGTTTTTTCGCATTGCCGCATCGGAGCATGTATATGAAATTTATGAATGTTTAGTCGGTTGACTAGGTTTGACTTTTACTTTATTAAAAGTCTGTTTAGAATTGGGAATTTGGACAAAAAGAAATACCTTGTGCCATCAGATTCAACAATTCAACAAGTAAACAAAATATTAAAATTACAGCAAGTTGTTTGGGTTACTTCAGCTAA